GTTTTTTTCCCCATTATCTTGTATTGGGTTAGAAATTAGAATCATTCTGCAGCCAGCACCAATGGGGCGATCACCGTTATTTGGCTTCACTCCGCCGGCCATGTCAGACACTGTTGGTTTCATCCTTCAGCTATTGTTATTGACAACTTCCTGTTTAGGGCTAAATTTTGACTTTTGATGACCGGCATTCACACATCATTAATAGACTGATAGTTTAGAGATGAGCAGATAAAATCTCTAGAAGGAGTTTGTTAAAGTACAATATGAGCAAAAGTGGCTTTTTTGTTTTACGTAAACAGCTGACTTTCAGTCCATTTTGGAAATGTGATCCATTTTAATTATATTTGTATAATATGTGTGGCCCCGTACATATGTTAACCTTTGACAGACTGTTGGCGCACTATAAGCTAAAACACATTTGCCATAATCACTTTTTGAACCCCAATCATACGTAAATTTTCACCAGTTCTGAAGTTTATGCGAAATTATCTACGACTTTTTGAGCACACTTAGACTCCCAAAAATGCTCTGAGCAATCACAATACGGTTCTATGCACCATCTGTGCTCAAGCCCTAAGAAAAAGAAAAAGCAGACAAGCCGGAACAGCTAAATATAGCTTGAAAATCAATTACCAAACACTGATTGGTAGAGACATCCATCAATCATGGTTCATGGAGCTTCACCAGAACATGAAGATCTTGACAGTATTTCCGAAATTTTACAACACAATATGAGAGAGTAGGTTGTAGTTTTCAGCCATCTGTGGGCTGGGTTAATTAGCGTCGCCAGATACTGCCTGTTAGCGCAGGCGTTTTTAACTACATCTGGGAGAGGACCAACCAAGCACCGACACACACAGCGATACGAGGAGAGAGAAAAAGGCTATTTGGAGGGAGCGCTGACGAGACCTCCGAGTGGCACAACTCCACCCAGCCCGATTGCGGTGCCAATGGTCCCGGTCGCTGCCCCTGCAGAGAGATCGCTGAAGCATCGGCCATCAGTGTGTCCGTGTAAAAGTATTTTTTAAACGACGCTCCAAGATATCAAGAAAATTAAGAGAACTTACCTTTGCTCTTACCATGGCCTTCTAACGATCAAAATTATGCAACTACCTGCTGAAAATTTTACAATTTAAATCTCTCAGTTATTTCGGAGGGGGATGGGTAACAGGAATGAGTAAAATGATAAAAAAATATGGATATTTGTGTAAATAAATGTATTTGAAACAAACATTTATGGATTTAAATATCAATGCAAATAAAAGGTTCTTTTTAAACGATCTTAATCATTATATTATATGGTGAAGCGTAGCATCAGAGACCAGCGACAAGCAATAAATGCTATTTTTCAGTGTTTATGTAGATTTTATCAATATTTTAAAATAAGAATAGTATGTAGTACACTTTGCTTAGTAATAGTGTATTTTTGATGCAATTTAATTTTTTTATTCTTTCATATGAAGTCCCAGGGAAAGCAACGGCTTCTGTTTGATGGAATGGTAGTACTTCTATTTGTAAAAATTCTCAAAGTTATACAATCCCTAACTGATTATTACATTTAAAAACTTGCTACTCATATTTACTACATTTTCATCACTATTTTTGTGACAAATAAAAAATGTACCAATACCCTTTTGTGCCTCACCCAATCACATTTAGTATAAATTCTTCACTAAGTGTCAGAGATTAGTCAAAGAGTTGCAATATCACGGCAACACAATGATAGTGTGACAAGAAAGCCGATAAGTAATGCTACTCCCTGATGGCTGTGGGAGACGCTGCTTCCTTGAGGCTCAAAGATCTCCATGCTTGGGTGGTTATCTCCAAAAAACATGCTGCACTAACTAAAAAAAAGCTCAGCTGAAATGTGAGACACTGCAGGAGAGACAGGAGGAATGCGAGATGAGGATTGAGGACATGGTGCTTTTTCCGTCCAACACAATCCACATCAACATCAAGAAAGACCTTCACAAGGGCATATTTAATGTACTGTTGCATCCCCACAGGTTGAGATTGTGGAGAATAGCTTTAAAGCAGAAGTTATATGTCAGCTGTGACAGGTTGACAAATCCTAAAACATTCAATACAATCCTGCAACCTCAGCAAACATGCTCCTTTGGGATAATGTCTAAACTAATTATCGTTTCGTAACAAATCCCAGCAAATTTTCGGTAGGTTACCAGAAAGTTTTGGATTTTGGATGTTGTACTGGTAGATTTTGCAAGTGGTCAGGACTGTCAAGCTCTGTGATCAGCTTTCAGCTGAGGTTCTTGCCTGGAGCTAGGAAAAAGGCTGATACTAGGCACTTAAGCGCAAACACAAACAGAATCACTCTACCAAGGTCACTTCTTTAGCGTTCGACTCAAGCTGGTTGCATAAGTGATCAAACAATTGTCTGTGGTTTAAAAGATTAAACAAAGTTTTCATGACTGCATCTAGTAGAGAGTAATTCCTTGAAGTATGTCAGCTCTTAGATAGTGATTTGGAATTAAATTTAGATCATAAACACTCTTTTAAGCTGAGGTGTAGAAGTGCTCTTCAAACAAATCCAAAATAGTAACTTAATTACTTAATTAAATGGCATTCCTAAATTTCTACTGAAGGGAAATTTAGAATCATTCATTTCCAACCCGTTTATTCCCTTTTTGAGGTCTGCCGGTGCAGATCTCCAGCGCACATTGGGGAAGAGGTGGGGATACACCCTGGACAGGTCGCCATTGCAGGAAATGTAGAATGTTTAGCATTAAATCCCAATATAGGGTTTGCACATTACTTCTTGGCAGCAAGAAGTCGAAGATTGAGTGTGATGGATCGCTGAAAATGGGGAAAAGCTGTTGTGTGATTGATGGCTTGAACCAATTTTCAAAGACTTTCAGAGACTCCAAGCTACAGACTGCCCAAATAAAAGCTGAAGCAAATGAATTGCTGCAATCCGAAAAATAACTGGAATATAGGTGATGAAAGCTTTCAGTCAGTGGCTGAGACCTTAATTTTTGTTCGTCTTTATGTAATGTTGCTTAAAAATAAAATCCTTAGTTACAGGAGGCCAAGTTAAAGATCAACACACCGGTCCGACTTGAGATTTGCACAAATCTTCTAATGAAATATTGATGCAATGATGCTCACTGCCTGAAGATGGCGTTTGCTGTACAACAGATGCTCGCCGCACCAAACACGTAAGCAGGAAAGAAGACAACGACAGAAAAAGAATTCAAAGAACACTGAAAATATCCTGTCGAGTGGTTTATACTGTTGGTGACTGATCATAGGGAGCTGCTTGACAAAAATGAGAAAAGAGAGGATTTGTAGTCAGCCATTTCCTGTACAAAGTCGCTATGAAAATGTGGGATGAGCGCCACCGAGTGTTTGCCTTGCAAAAACGGATCCAATATGGCAATCTGAAACTCCTTTTTGGTCGCCACATCTTGTTCTGTTCAATGTGTGATGGTTCAATATTGAGGCACATCGTTGCACGAAACTATGCAGGAAAATTTGGGTCGATATATATAGACCTTAAGTCTGGCTGACTGGCATCCCAGGACAGTGAGAGTGTGTGATGACCCTCAACTGCGCCGTTCGAGAGCCCTCAGCGTCTTTTATGCTCTTTGAACAGGCCAGGATGGGGCAGGATACAGCCCATATATGGTCTTGACTCTTGAGAGAGAAAGGAGGGGCTTGGAGATTTAGGCTCAGGTCATAGTTGTCTTCAAATAACCACCTGGATCAGTGACCTTGAAGCCTTCAGTGGTTTTTGCCGCCATAGGCACTTTATGCGCTGCTGTGAGGATCTTGGCAGAGCTTATGGCGTTCAGATATTTAAATGTCGTAAATGCTATTACAACCGTTATGAATTTTCGGTCCGAGCGTTCATGCGACAAATGGACAACTTGCGTCCAACAACTGGCGCCAATGCAAGCTCACACATATGGACAAATGGACCAAATGAGTGATACCGACAGTTCACTCAGTACCGCACTGGGATCTAGTTTTTCGCAAGGAGAATGACCAATGAAAGCTGGCTCTTTTGAAATGGTGTTCATGCCACATTTTATAAGCGACTTCGTACAGGAAACAGGAAAGAATTTCTTCAGATAAAAAAAACCCTGTGATCACAGTATAATCCGCTTATTTTTTCTTTGAGTTCTTTGATTTTTCGGCATCTTCCTCTTCCCAGTTTCCCTGTGTGGCACGGAGTGCATCTGTTGTACTGCAAACACCCTCTTCAGGCAGGGAGCGTCAACTGCATCAACATTTCCTCGACCCAGAGCAAGAGCCCCCTCTGAGTAGTAATCTGGAGATTTGAGCAAATCTCAATTGGGATTCTTGACCTCTCTGTGGCATCCAAGCCAGTGGTGTATCCGGTCGTCCTGATTTCAGTTCTCTCTTGATAGTCCCTCACAGTTTTGTCCACTCTATCATTAGAAGCACATATTAACTCACCAACTCTGTTTAAAATGAATCATCTGTGCCCATGTCTTTCCTCCAAAACAACACCGGAGCTCTAGTCACCCCTTGCCTTGACTTCTGCAATTCCCTGTTCCTGGCTTCGCGTCTAAATCCCTTCATAAGCTTCAGCTGGTTATAAATGCTGCTCCCAGTCTAAAAACTCTTGCTGCTCTGATCACGTCCCACTGGTGCAATAACTTCATTGGCTCTCTGCAAAGGTTATATCTGAATTGAAAATCTTGCTCCTCACTTACTGCACCTAGCTCTCTTTAAGATTCCTTGTTTCTTCATTTACAATCACATCAGCTTCTCAATTCTCTTGGCTCAACCCTCTATCCTAAAATCTGCAATTGAAGATTGAGCTTTCAGCTTTTTTAGCTTCAGCCCAGAAGAACCCTATGTCTGAGGAGCTCCACAGCTGTGTGGACTATGTTCAACTCTTGTGCATGGTTCCAAATTACAACCCTCTTGTGTTTTTTGTGGCACAAAATTAAACAACTAGTACATTGTTTTGTACAAATCCAGGATTTTTCCATTTTGATGCCAAGGTGGGCGGCACAGTGGTGCAGTGGGTAGCACTGTGGCCTTTCAGTTAAAAGGTTGCTGGTTCGAGACTCGCTGGTGACTCTCCTGGAAGGAGTTTGCATGTTCTCCCCGTGCTTGCATGGGTCTCCTCCTGGTACTCCAGTTTCCTCCACAATACCCCCCCCCTAAAACATGTGGTTAGGTTAATAATCTTATTCCCCTAAGGTGTGAATGTTGTCCTGCGATGGACTGGCAACCACCCAATGTGCGCTGGAGATAGGCACCAGCAGACCCCCGTGACCCCAAAAGGGAATAAGCGTGTTGGAGAATGAATGAGTTGCCAAGATAAAAACAAAATTACCGTATTTTTCGACATATAAGATGCACTTTTTCTTCCCCAAAACTAAGGGGGAAAAGTTGGTGCGTCTTACACGGTGAATGCAGAGCGCCGCGGAGCGGAGGGCGGTCACGGCTGTAGGAGAGGCGTAAGAGAGGCTTCGGCCTTGCTCCTGTTATGGTAAAAAATATACCTTCTCAATTGATAATAAACACTGGAGACCATTTGAGAGAGAACACAGCAAATGCGGCTATTTATTGTAAAGATTTAGCAGTCTCAACGCATTTCCTACACACGTATTATCCGCTTTGGAAGAACCTCGAGCCTCTCAAAGAGACAAGCGACGGAAGAAGGGCGGGACTGAAATATGACGCGTCTCTTAAAAGTTTCTCAAATGACATTTCTCTAAATGACCACTAGATGGTAGTATTATATAGGAAAATTCCCATCACACTCCGGAACCGTTAGTGCGGGCTGACGTCAACGCCCATCTCTGCTCGTCGATCCTACCATAGTGCGGATCGTAAGGAGCAGGTATGAAACATTACAGCCTTTTTTGTTACTTTTACTGTTTACTGACTGTTCATGTTACATGTTTGACATATAATTGTTCTTAAACTGCTGTTAACTTTTACACAGTTGATATAAAATATTTTACTACAGTATTTGGTTCAGAATCTTTTTTTTCTAGATCTTTCTCATTTGAAATTGGGTGCGTCTTATATACTGGTGCGTCATATACGGCGAAAAATACGGTACTTCTTTATAATGCATTTCTATAGTTTTTATGCATTTTTTCCCATCGGATAAAAAGTTGATCCTATTTGTACACATCATTAATCTTGGGGTTTCCATCCAGGGTTTTTTACGTGATATTACACAACACCCATAAAACTAGGTGGATGGAAACCCAGCTAATGTTTTGTATTTACTTTTTAAAAATCAGCTGTAATGTGTGCACCACACAGTAGGTTAGATTGTATGGAGGGCATTGGTTTGCTTCTCATGTTTGCTGTTGGAAACATGCAGGCTGAAATCCAGTTTTACTCATTTCTAATCAGAGCACGTCAGAGAACCCAGCTGAGTGTCAGGATGAGGCTGGAACATGCAGAGGATCAGACGGACAGAGTTGACTCGCTGTAAGCTTCTTAAATAGGACTGGATGGCTCTGGTGTGCACTCTAGGGTTCAGACTTCACTTCACTGACAGACCATTAAATACACAGGATAAAACACCCTCCCCTATTGTGTGTAATGATTAAACTTTACTGCATGCATTAATCATTTATTGGCACTCCTTGCAAGTGAGACTTCACAAACATTTTCATCTCTGTGGCATGAGTTGCTGTATGCAACATTGATTTCAGAGAAACCATCTAACAGAAATACATTTAAAGGTGACACAGGCGGATGTGTTTTTGCTTAATTTCAACTCTTCAGCTTTGTCTAATATCATATGCAAATGTGCCACTATAAGCAATGACAACATTAAAAAAAAAAAGAGCACCCATTTTGCCTACATGGCGCTCTGACATTGGGATCTGTGTTTAAAATGGTGTCATAATACAACTGCAGAGGATGTTACATAAAAATATGCAGCACTGGCTTTCACTGAAACTGTGGTGGAAAATGAGGCAATAATATCAAGGAGTCGAATTATGAATTGACAAAATCACAAAGTATTTATTCAGGATGCATGCACGGATTTTAGATAGCAGATCGAACCCAAAGATGTTGCGTTGGTTGCATACCCTTTGGGCATGGCAATCAGTCTTAAATACAATACTAAGATGGGCTGATCCCAGACATTGACAAATCAAATTAATAGATGAGAAACACACGTTTACAGAAACACGTAGAGTTAGCAGTTTAAATGTTCAAAGGTGATGTCATGACAAATGTCAGGTCGCTCTGTACACAAAAACTGGGAGACTAGTCACGCAGGCATTAATTTAAAAACAGAATAGTCAAGCAGGAAAGATACTGAAGCATTAAGGATTTAAAACAGTAAAACTATTTAAACCTAATGAGAAAATAACTATCGCAACCAAAAAACATTTTATTACCTTTAATGTGTTTTTTTTTATTCTGCTCTTCAAGGCTAATTCCCGATTAATGTTGGACACTTTCTAGGGGTGTAACAATACACTCTCCTCACCATACAATAAATGTCCTGTGTCTGGGATATAGTCTGTATCCTAGTATTTAACAAACAAAGCAACATGATTGTTTACATCTTTGGAAGTCATGTATATGTTTGACCCGTCATTGGTCAAACATATACACAAAACTGAAACATCAAAACAAAACTGAAACATTATACAATCCAAAGCTAAGAGGCTAGCGTATAGTTTGATTTGTATTAGAGCAGCGATTCTCAACCAGTGTGGCGGAATTTCCTCTGTAATTCTTGTTTGATTAATGCTTAGTAAGTAAAATGTGTAAACTTCAATCAATCTTCTTTCCCTTTGGTTCTTTGCCTTAAACTAACACGCACAATGAGATAGAGCAAACATTTCAACACTTTACAGATTTTTCTTTGGATTTGTATTTGATATACCTCACCTACCCCCCAAGCGCGTTTGTGTTTCCTCCAGAAAAGTGACACATTCATTCAGTCTTATGTGATTCATTTTTATTTCCCTCACATCATACATCTCTCCCCCAGCAAAATTACTCTCCCAACTCTGTCAAACGTCAAAGTGTATTAAAGTAAAGTGTTGCCAAGTGCTATATTCTCATGTGGTGGATGAAACCTCAGAACCCTTCTCTTGGGCTTTTGCTTATATACGTTCTTAGCAATCAATCTACAGTGTACTTTTCTGGTTCTGATCCATTAAACCTATGATGCTTCTCTTAAACTGTAAAGCTCATTCAGAAAATATTCATTATACTTAAAATTCCATTGAGTTACAATTGAAGTCTTCGACTGGAAGGACACAAAAGGAAATGAGGCAGTCATGTGAGGAGCTGCCTGTGAGATCAGCCTCACATTGGGAACTAATGGAACGTGACAGTGACGGCTCACTTCGGGCACCTAGAGCCCCTGGAGACAACAATACCAATTCATCAGCGACCGTGATGCTCACATGCAGGACAGAGCAAGGACAACACCGCTTTCAAACACCACCATCAGGGATGTAAATAACATTTTTCTCTTTCATCTAAGGCACGTGTTGTAAATTTTCCTGCAAATGAAGTCCTTTCTGTTGAGGGCAGTGACTAGAACATAGCACACACGACTCCAAAAAATATCGTATCATCATCATTTCAATGGAAGTACATCAAGCTTCTGGAAAGGATCTTCAGGGTATGACCTTTCAACTGTACTCTTCATTTCCAGCTGACTTTTCTTTGTCATTTTGACAAAAAATAAAATAAATCACCAGTGCCCTGCCCACTAGACAAATCTGAGTCTGCAACCTATAGGAGCAGCTCAGATGGGACAACAAGGCAGCAGCTTTGTTCTGCGCTCCATTGTGCAAGAAGCAATAAGAGGAACATTGCCAGAGCTCTCCAATTGACCTCCAGCAGGCCACCCATGTGCATGATTCTGCTCAAACTGTCAGAAACATGTTCCACGAAAGTGGTATAAAGACCCAAGTGGGGTCTTCACTCACAGCCAGCACCATGCAGCCATTTTGGCATATGCCTGGGGACCCCTCGGATTGGCAGATACTAATTTTCCAGCATGTGCTTTTCAAGGATGAGAGCAGATTCTCAACAGATGCAGTGTAACATCCTCCAGTATGATGTGCTAGGGGGTGTTTGTTTGAGGGTCACAGAGACCTCTATGTGCTGCCGTTAGGTAGAGTTTTAGATAGTGATGGTGCAGAAGTATCTTTCGATTTATGATAGTGCTTGGACTCATGCGAACTGAATGTAGAATATTGTTGTGTCGTTCTTGAATGATTCGGTGAGTTGCGCATGAAACATTCGAGTGTAGCCCGTTCATCGTTAATGACAAAAGAATGAAAGGACCCAAAAAAATGAATAAATCAATTCTTAACATCAGAGAGAGGCGATATGTGAAACGAAGGAGACTTAAACCTAAAGAGAGATCAGAGGTGAGCTGAACCAGACTGAAACCAGTCTGTTTTTTTTGTCCTCTAGGATTATAGTTTTGTGTTATTTGTAATGTGTTTCACAATTGCAAACATTTTATTGGTATTTTACAAAAATATATGACATGACAACTCCCCATCGCAAATGTGGATAAAACTTTGTTGAAATTGTAAGGAACACTCCACATACTGTTTTGACAGGATCATTTCCCAATACTGAGATACAGTGCGAGATACAGTCATCAGGAGAAATTTGGGTTAATACTTGGAGAAAAGTATTGACAAACCTTTCCTTTTTACTGCAACAGAGCTGCAGGAAAACAACTAAGTTTGCAAGTGAGTTTGGCAAGGCACACAGGGGGATACTGTCTGAGATGGTAAACTTGGTAAAAATGTAAAAAATCGTTGGTTAGACTCAAATTAATTTGTACTTCCTAAAATTGAAAGATTCTAGCAACATATTCAGTTGAACAATGTTTCTTAAAATGATTTCAAGTTTTTTAGAATGTTGTAACTGAAACAATGCTAGCCTTTGTTGACAAATGCTAATTAACAAAATGCAACAAATGTTTTTTTTTTTTTTTGACGAATAGATGAGCCCCTAATTTGTTCCCCCTGTTGAGGTCTGGCAGGTTGTAACTATTTAAAATGTAAAAAATATTTTTTTTAGTCTAAAGGTGTTTGCACACTTAGGTCTGAAAC